CTGTTGTCGCTGTCTAAATATTGCGGGCGCATTTCTTTAACAAACATCTTGATTCTTCGAACGCTGAAAATATGCATTGTGAGAGGATATTTTGTCCTCTTTTACTGGTTTGTTCATGGAGAATAAAGTGTTTCTTGAAAGATTAAGTTATAGTGCTTGTACGCAACGATATAACGACTTAATCGCATGAAAACGTGCGAAGAATTTTTATTTACAAATGGGCGACAAGTGGAAATGTTTCACTTATTGTCAGAGTTTCAGAAGCAGGGTACAGCAGTATGGAAACAAGGAAGTGTTCATATTTTACTCTTGATAGAAGCTGAGTTGTTGTTGTTTCCACAGGTATGTTCAATAATTTGTTTGTCCTTCCTCATCTGGAATAATAAGTGTCTTAAAATACATATTTTGACGAAAATGACACATATTCCTCTTGCAATTTCGTAAAAACTGGCCGTTGCCTTTAGTTAGAAAATATATTTTATGAAAGTTATATCATACTTTGTTTTATTCATGGGAAAAATGCTTTGCTATTCATGGGAAAAATGTGCCAGATGTTGTAATTGACAAATCCACTTGTGAAGTGAAAATGTCATGTTGTCACATGCTTATGAAATTGCTCCTGTATTGGTTTGTTATAAACTAAAAATTGCTTCAAAAATGCTTTTGAAAATGTTCAAGTATTGGTTATTATGAGATAGGAAATGCCGCATTATTTGTTCAGTTTTAAGAGTCTAACGGCAATCCTGAATATAGGCATGCTTGCTTTGTGAAATTCTGTGGTGATATGGCATATAAATAAAAATATCTTAAAATTTTGCACATTGCCTCTCTCTGCAATATGGCTTAAAACTATCCTTATTAGTCAACCTTCATGGAAAGGTTAGTGGGTATGCTGGGGAAAATGCGCGCGGCACTCTTTTTGGACACTGAAGATGGTAACATTTGATGTTGTCATATATTGCCATTCTCTTATCATAGCATAACTTAACTTATTTTAGTGAGTTTGTTAAAGAGTTTTGCTCACTATATGCCTGTAGTATCTAAGATTTTTTCATAGCATTATGTGATAAATTTAAGTTCTGTTTTCTTTTATTTTTAGGTGATAATATCTGTTCACTTGAATGTTAATATCAAATTTTGGACAAGTTTCAATTATTTCAGATTCCTTTATTCAAATATCCAAATAAATGGAATATGACATCAAGCTGGAGGACTAGATTCTGTTTCCAAACTTGTTTTTGTAAAAATAGAAAATAACAACTAATTCTGTGTTGTTCTAATAAAAACTATTGTTTTTTATATGCATATTTAATTTTTAAAATTACAGTCATTCTTTGTTAAAATGTGTACCAGGAATACTTAAATCTTTCAGATCAGCTACCAATTCCCTTTATAACTTATGTAGCCAAGTGTTCTATCTATTTCTGTTCAGATTAAACAAATGATGGGTAAAATATTAGTTTAGATTCTTTCAAAACAAATGAGCTTGTCTATTTTCAAAGCATAAAAAGCAATAAAATAAAGCAAAAGTACTTATTTTTAATTTAAAACCTTTGGATTGCATAGCTTAATGTTTTCCACTAAATATTACAAAGTTTTCGTTCATTAAAAAGTTGTTTTATCAGCTTTAAAACCAGATAAATCCACGAAGCACTCCTAATATATGTCGCCATATTAATTTTTTCGCGCATGCTCCGTACAAAATGCCCAGCTGTTCTATCTGACCAAGTTTGGACGAAAAATGTTGAAAACTCACAGAGTTATTTAATTAAATACATTTCGCTTGCAATAAGAAAAACATTGAAAATGTAATATTCAAATTCAATTTTCTCCCAAAGAATTTTACGGCAATTACTGATTTTTAAACGAGTTGTGCTCCTGCGGGTTTTAACGATTTTTTCTCAAATTTTCCGACAGAACATAGCTAAAGACGTCAGTTTCAAAAATAACGGAATAAACAAAAATTTCCGATCACAATTTTTTAGAACAACTATTTTACTGTATAAAAATGATAATTTCATAAATATATCTTAAAACCAGCAGGATCGAGCATAACTCAAAAGCGTAAAGGAACCGCGACTTAAGATTTTCCTGAATAATATATTCTTACATTATTTTATTGTTTGTCAATTTTACAACTTTATCATATTTTGCATGCACTGGCTAACATTTGGTGAAATTAAAATTTGATAAAATCGGACTGATTTTGAGCGCGCAGTAGCGATTTTCCACAAAATGCCAAAAAGGGTGTCCTGTAACCTTAAGCAAAATTACTTTCATAATCATTGACAATTGCTTTTAGAAATATAATTCGAGAATTACCTTATTTATCTATGTTTATGGCAAACCATGTTCAGCGTCAACGGGACAAGGCGAAAATGGAAAAATTGTATCTATCTTTATTCATCATTCTCATGATAGCGGGATGGTTAAAAGCGGAGTTATGCGGTATTCCGAAACGATTCGAGAAAATTGAAAACGGTATTTTCCTAATATGTTTATTAGTATATATAGGTAATCATGCGATGGCGTGTACAATTAGGGATTAATAGTACGAGTGATGTTTGGATTTTTTGCCAAAATTGGACGAGCCGCCGGGGCGAGTCCAATTTGGCAAATTTCCAAACATCACGAGTACTATTAATCCATAATTGTACGAGAAACATCGCATGATTACTTGTTTTTATATATTAGCATGACAAAATTGGATACTTCTCAATGTTAACATCATGCTTATATTCTCTCGCGAAAGCCCAGTCCTGCCAGATTTTCAACCAAAATTTGGTGCTTTTGTTCGTATTTGCATCTAGTTCTTCTAGGGCAATTTCATTACACGCTTGTGTTTAAAATACCTTTCCGCCATTTTGTTTGTTTTGGGAAAATCATTAATTGTACTGCAATACAATTAAAGAAATAATTGTACTCCTCTCAACCAATCAGAATCCAGTATTTTTGTCATACTAATAATAAACCATATTATGCAGGGTGCAAGTAGAAAAAAACAAGACCTTTAAAAATCGAGCTGTTGTTGTTTATAAGCACAGGATTTTATGCTCCTAGGAATTTAAAATTCATATGTGGAACGAAACCAAATTAAAGTCTTATCAGTTCAGCACAGTCAGTTTTGCATTCAAATTCCAACAATAGCTCGATTTCTGAAGGTCTCGTTTTTTATACACCCTGTTTAAAAATATTCTCCCAAGCAACATTTTACTACAAATGTATACAGTACTTTATCTAATTTAGCAAAGCGCATATTCCCACGTAGCTACTCATGCATTAGAAATCTTCAGATGCCCGCATCCGTTCACGCGAGTAAAGCCTGTTCTAAACGTCGCATTTTACATGCGCCGAATACATTCAAAGCAATGGATAATGAGGCATTTCAGCTGATTATCTATTGTTTTGAATGCATTTGGCAAATGTAAAATGCGACGTTTAGAACAGGCCTAAGGCCCGTTTTAAGCCTGTTCTAAACGTCGCATTTTACATGCGCCGAATGCATTCAAAACAATGGATAATGAGGCATTTCAGCTGATCATCTACTAACTTCTTCGGTATGTTTGCATGGCGATAAAACATATAATAGTTTTGTTTGTGGAAACACCACGTAAATTTATTACTGCAAAGCTTTCGATCCGTAAACCCGGATCTTCATCAGTGCTAATAATATGTTTATATATTATTAGCACTGATGAAGATCATATATTTATATATTTTTTTACATATTATTAGCACTGATGAAGATCCGGGCTTACGGATCGAAAGCTTTGCGATAATAAATTTACGTGGTGTTTCCACAAACAAAACTTTTATATGATCATCTACTATTTCGAATGCATTCGGCACATGTAAAATGCGACGTTTAAGCCGGTTTTCCACTAGCGATTTTTTTCGCGCGAAGCGACATTTTGCTATTGTTTTAGAGCTCTCAGCTGCAACCATGCATCTGGAAGAAATTTCCCAAAGACAAAAGAATAAATTCGCTTCGCGCGAAAAATATCGCCGAATTTTGGTCGCGTCGAATGCAATACAAACAATAGATAAGAGATGATAAGCCTCATTAAAGGGTATGAGCAACAAAAAAAATTATTGCTTCATCTGAAACAGCATGAAAAAATAAGCCGATTGGCCGTTTAATGCTCTATTCTATCTCATCTGGTTCCGAAGTTATACGCAAAAATGTGCAAAATATAAATTGCTGATTCAGCACAATGTGTGACGTCATAAGCTGGGTAAGTATGTTTATTGAATAGTAAACTGAAGCATAGCTCAGTTATTATTGGCTCAAATCAAATGAAAATTTTGCATACAGATAGTACATGATGAGATGCATGGGAAAATACTTCTAATTTTGTTGCCAAGGCAACACAGTCGTTCCCAGGCCCCTTACACTGATTTTGAATAACTAGTTGCATTTATCTATGTATATGTAACAGGTGGAAAATTTGTTGACGCTGACCAAAAATAGCGGCTCATTTCTTCTCGAGTTGACTTTCAGAGAATATTTTAGCTGTTTACTATCAAATATGTTTATGAAACAGTTGATAATCTTACTGAGGAAGGCCAACGGTTTCTGAAAAGCTAAAGTACGTCGAAATCCAACTTTGGAATAGACTATATTTTCACCTGGGAAACATGAACTAAATGGATATTTCAGGGGCGGACATATCGATTTTGACTGGGAGGGTGTAATCACGAAATGAGACCGACCCACCGCTGAAATGTGAATCCAGACCGACTCCTGGTGAGTTGGTGTGTTGCAATAAAATTGAGTAAAAGCATGGAAATTTATGCCATTTATTAAGAATATTGCCAGAACACGTACAGGTTGCTGTAAAACGTTATACTTTTACTAATTAAGTGTTCGCGCTTAGTCAGGTTTGACCACAGATTAGCGATTTCGTCAAGATCAATCGTGTCTGTTAGATCGTGCTCACACGCAAGAGTCAAGAGTTCACCAAGGCGTTCCTGGTTCATTACTGAACGCATAACAGTTTTCACTGATTTCAGCTTTGAAAAGCTGCGTTGATCGGCGGATGCGGATGTTACAGGAACTGTCAGGCGCGTAACTATAGGATTTTTGATTGATCGAGACACTTCTGGGGGGGATCTGGGGCATGCTCCCCCAGAAAAATTTTGATTTTCTAAAACTTAGAAACGCTATTTTCTGCATTCTGGGAGCAGTTCAAACGAAATATCAATTTCATAAACAGTGACACAATGACTATAATTTATACTGTAGTTTGCCCCCAATCCTGAGGCTAAGAATTACAAATATTTTTGGTCGAACATCATTGATCAGGTGCATAATAAAAAAGTGCTTGTGCTCAATTGTTGTAATATTTGGGCGCTGGCCCGCACTTTTGTTATTGGGGTACTTGTGCACCCACACAGCCTCCCATTTCTTACATTACTGTAGGGCAAGAATAATTAGAGAACTACTGTCTGTCATTGAACTTGAACTCGATTGACTCATATACCTACAGTAGTTATGGGCCTGACTGTAAGCAACAATTGGAAACATCGCCTAGTCAGTGGAAACAATTTTTCGCTCCGTGATTTCAGATAAACCAGTGCGTTGTTCACTGATCGAATTTCTTGATTGCAGTAGGCACATAAAACTCTTTGGTAACAAAATGCATATGCATATCGTGTTACATGTGAACATATACTTCCTAATATAACTCAGCTAGAAATTCGTTTTTGCACTTTGCATCTTAAAAATATAGTTTAGGGACCGGAGAAATATTGTAACTAATGTTAGCTATTTTGATCGAGATTCATCGCATTTTGGAGTCTGATTTTGGGGGTTTGAAATTTTCGCTAATATAGATCAATATCACCCATGAATGACCTTGCGAACCTAAATTTCAAATAAAAGTGCCAACACATAATCGTGACATATAGATATCTCCATGTTTGGAAAGTAAATGGAAAGTTCATCCCTGGCGCGTGTTTTGACTGATAATTCGTTCATAAACTCGCGAAATAAGTACGTAATATTTCTTCATATTATTTCTGTTTGAGCAAATTTTCACAACTCAATACTCAATAGTCTGAGTCTATCTCGAGTTTCGAAAATGTTTAATTTGCTTCGCAAAGCACTACATGTAAACAAACGCATAATTTTGAGACCGACTGCTCGACAGACTACACGTAGTTTGAGACCGACTGGATCATTTCTCTGGGGGGGGGGTGAACCACCCCCCCCACACACCCCACATTTACGCCCCTGGGATATTTACATCAACACTAGATTTTGCTCGTGCCTACAGTGCTAGTTGGATTAAAACAGATGTTAAGAAGTAAGTGAAAATGTGAATTTTGTGAATTATATTTTCATTAAAATGTTTCAGAAGGACTGTTAATGCCAAACTACAAGTGTGACAGAGCTGTCAGTATACCCATATTTCAATGTTTATGTTGAAATGACCTATCTTCTTTGAAGTATAGCTTAAAAATTAGGGTATGCTCATCACTTGAAACTAGCTTTAAATCAAAGTTTTATCTATAGTCTTTTTATTAGAATTAAAATTATTCATGGGAAAAATGTGCGAAAGGGTTGAAATTGCCCTTGTAAATGTGCACTATTTTTGACATGTTTGGGTTAGTATTTTGAAAAGGTGTTCTGGAAGGAAAATATGTCTTGAACAATACTGGTTGACCCTTAAATTATAACTAGTGTCATGTAAATCACAGAAAATTGAAAAAAATCCGGTCCATACACAATATTTTGGTTTCTATGAGGTCCCGAATGGGGCTTATTTCATTGTTGAATACGTTTACCTGGAAAAACTTAGAAAGTTGAATAAGTCAAGAATTTGACTATGCTCATCATCCAAAACCAGGTTTTTCTAATTGCTTTTTTACCTGGGTTTGTGGCAATACCAGTTATACGACCATGAAAAATGCGCGCGGCACTTTTTTTGGACACTGAATATGGTGACATTTGATGTTGTCATATATTGCCATCCTCTTATCATAGCATAACTGAACTTATTTTAATGAGTTTGTTAAAGAATTGTGCTCACTATATGCCTGTAGTATCTAAGATGTTTTTCATAGCATTAGATGATAAATTTAAGTTCTGTTTTCTTTTATTTTTAGGTGATAATATCTGTTTACATGTATGTTGGTATCAAATTTTGCACAAGATTAAATTATTATTTCACATTCTTTATTGAAATATCCAAATAAATGGATTATGACATCAAACTGGAGGGCTAAATCCTGTTTCCAAACTTGTTTTTGTAAAAATAGAAAATAACAACTTATTATATGTTGTTCTAATAAAAGCTATTGTTTTTTATATGCATATGAAATTACATTTTATTCTTTGTTAAAATGTGTACCAGGAATACTGAAATTTTTCAGATCAGCTAACAATACCTTTGTAACTTATATAGCCAAGTGTTCTATCTATTTCTGTTCAGATTAAACAAATGATGGGTAAAATAATAGATTACATTTTTGCAAAAAAATGGGCTTGTCTGTTTTCAAAGCATAAAAAGCAATAAAATAAAGCAAAAGTACTTATTTTCAATTTAAAACCTTTGGAATGCATAGCTTAATGTTTTCCACTAAATATTGCAAAGTTTGCGTTCATTAAAATGTTGTTTTATCAGCTTAAAACCAGATAAATTCACGAAACACTCCTCATATATGTCGCCATATTGATTTTCTTCGCGCATGGGCAGACAAATTGCCCACCTGTTTGTATATGTCATTTTCGATTATTATCATGCAAGTAAACTTTTGGCATGCATAGGTATGGTACACATACTTCTGATATTATTTTATTCTTATCAGTACCATGAATAAAGCTGTTTTATAAAATTGGCGCAAGGGGCCTGGGAACGACATTGTTACCTTGGTAACAAAATTAGAAGTGCTTTTCCATGCGTCTCATCATGTACAATCAGTACGCAAAATTTCTTTTGATTTGGGCCCATAATAACTGAGCTATGCTTCAGTGTAGTATTCAATAAACATACTTACCCAGCTAATGACGTCACACTTTGTGCTGAATCAGCAATTTATATTTTGCCCATTTTTGCGTATAACTTCGGAACTAGATGAGATAGAATAGAGCATTAAACGGCCAATCGGCTTATTTTTTGATGCTCTTTCAGATGAAACAATAATTTTTTTTGTTGCTCATACCCTTTAAGCTTCATTATCTATTGTTTGAATTGCATTCGAAGCGACCGAAATTCGACGTATAAATTAACGGGCTAGCCTGCGTGCAGGCCCAAGGGAACTGATAGTGGGCCTGCAACCATCACCCCATGTTTTCGATTTTCGCCGGCCGAACCGCCGGCTAAATTCCCATTGGCTAGCTGAGGCGATCGGTAATTAATTAACCTAGCGTGCAGGCCCAAGGGAACAGTGATTCATCACAAAGGCATAGACAAAGGCTCTCGATAAGCTTAAAATTTGAAAATTGATCACTTTTTTCGATTACAAATGGAACAAGAACAGACTGTTTATTGTTTACTTGAAGGAAGACATGTTTTTGCCGTTATGCCAATGGGGATTGCTTGTCGTGAGGTGTTGGAATAGCAAATTACGACTGGGGTAAACTATAGTAACCTTTACTTGAGTTTCATTAATTTCAAACAGACTTCAGTTGATACGTTATGTGTTCTCACTTCCTCAAGAAAATTATCTTTTGGTTGATGTTGAGATGCAGTTGCATGTAAGGACTGTAAGCCTATTCGAAACACTTTGCGATTTACAAGGCTTCGCTGAGAGAGCGAAACAGAAGGCGGTATTAAATTGCCGTTTGAAACGAAACGATCTGGACTCGGAACGCTCTCTTCTTTTGTAGAGTTCTTTACCAAATGAAATAAATGAAATAAATTTCGTACTTTCCGCCGCCAACAAGAATTGCACACACGATCTGATAAGTGAGACAATTTATTTATAACAATGCCAATGGCGACAGCGAAGCACACATAATATAAATCCTAATGTGGTCGCACGACTTCCCTCATGATTTGAAGTTTGAGACTGGTTTTCTGTTGAAATTCGTCCTAATTTGCCTGTTCCGATTTTAGTTGAAAATGAGCACTTGCAAATTTGGCAATTACTGACTGCGTTGCTTGCTTTTTTGGAGTTAAAACGCAGCCATTTACACATTGTTTATTAGTGTTCTGAATAAGCAGAGAAAACCCCGCAACATTTTAATGCGAGTTTGTTTGTTAATATTTGGGTGCTGTCATTGGTTCTTTTTTGACAATTGACGCGCGAATGGGGCGTGTTATGAAAAGGGGCGTATTTCAAAATACCGGGCGATGGTTGCAGGCCCACTATCAGTTCCCTTGGGCCTGCACGCAGGCTATTAACAGGCTTAATATGGAGTTTGGCAAATTAAAACGGCAACGGCAACGTGGTCATCAACAATAGCATTGATTCTTAAAGACAAAGGCGAATGTAAATTACATGGTCTTAAACGTTGTGGAATTAATCAGCTGTTGAACTTAACTAGTACGTGTTTGCATCATTTTCACGGTGCATGACTACGGCAACAGTTAATTCGTTCGATGTTATTTGAGGTGTTTTATTTGAATTCGAGGACTATTTTTACTTATTATAAGGGTTGTTTGAGAGAAGAAATACTTAAACAGGCAAACTAAGTGTATAGTAATGTATACTTTGGCTCAAGTACAACAATATAAACAACTATTATTTTTGCCGTTGTCGTTGCCGTTCTAGGTTGCAAACTCCCTAACATACATGAAAATACGGACAAAAAATTAAAAACCTTTTGTATTAATCTTTTACACTCTTCCATTTTCCATGCTTCAGCAACTGCAAGCACAAATTCCACTGTTAATTATAAGATCAACTATAAGACCGCGAGTCCGCTGTTAATTAATTATAAATAAACTATAGGTTTTTCCATACCAATATTCGTTGCTTCACCACCAATAATTTTTCTTATTCAAGGAAGCTTTGCTTTGTCAAATGCCAGTGTGATATCTAGTCATCGCGTTGCCCGTGAAGGACAATGCTTCCTCTACTGTGTGAAAAAGTCATCATGTACGGCATTTAAATTTAAACCGAGCAGCATAGAAGAGGTGAATTGCATACTCGGCAACCTAACTAAAAACGTAGTCAAGGGTGGAGAAAAAGGATGGATATATTATCAAGAAATTCTGGTAAGTCGTAATTTGAGATACGCAAGTATATGACATACAAATAATGAATGTTTATGAGTGCAATGGTAAAAATGTTTTCATGATGGAAAATTCCATCGTTAATTTTACCACGACTGATAAAATTGCTAACCTGACATTTGCTTTCGGAGTTAAGGTGGGGACACCAATATACTGTCTTGTCCAAATCATGGAAATTAGGTCTAACGTACATTGACTTTAGCAGCTATTTTATAGGAAATGGCCTTCTGTCTACTCTTAATTAAACTGGTGATTTCTGTGCCCTGAACCAGTCCTATTATCGAACAAAAAGTTTGAAAAATTATCAAATTTAGGGGATTTATGTTTTACCAGTTTTTAAATCACATAAAAACTTGATGTTATGGATCGCATATCATATGTTTAGATACGATCAGGATCATCAGTCTGGAAATTTCATTTAAAATGTCCTTAATGTTCTGAAATACTTTAAAGATGCTGTAAAGTCAGTAATGTAAACAAACGCTTTCTTTACATTTTCAACGCAGTGCTACAGTTGTAAAATATGATTAGATATATATTATACTGAATTTTTAACACTCTTCTGGTTTGCAATGCTTGTAAATGAATACAGACTAAAGATTATGTTCAAGAAAATTCGGAAGGTGCGAAATATTAATAACATTCCAATGATCGGGTCCCGATCATTGGAATGTAGACCGGCGCAGAACGTATGCGCAGAACGGACTTTACAACATCTTTGAATCTAATTTCCATAATCTGGACAAGTGTCCCCTTAAACGATTATAATCAGTGTAGAAGGAAAACGCTTGGTATTTTGATGAATTACGTATCAATTATGGATTGACAGTGCATGGAAAGCATTTTTGAAACACCCTGCGTATAACCGTCAAAGCATCATGTCTTTTATTGTTCCTATATGTTACATATAAAGTACGAGGGGAGATATTGAATTTTTTTAGTATGCTTGTGGTTTTACATTAATGCTATAATAACTTGATTGTAATAAAACGTGCCTCAAGCATATTTAGATGAAGTTGAAAATTACATTATATAACCGTTATAATCATATTTGCTTTGTTTTATTTTATTTTATTTTATTTTATTTTAAAATTATGCAGTGCAGTAACGAAACCAAGTACAAAAAGAATGAAAAGTGCACCTATGAAGCACAACAAGGTACAGTACCTTAAATTTTTATACCAACACTACCAGGAAAATTCCAGGCTTTGAATATAAAACAAAAATCACTAGTTAAAATTTAAGGCGTTCCGCTAACAGAATGCTAATGCATCATAACAGAATGCTAATGCATCATCACGGTAATAAATCAATACATTTGCTTATTTACATGCATGTATTGTTTTGTTTTTGGGGGGGAAATACCGGTACTTTCGGGGCGGCGGTCCCCCTTCCTTCCACGATACCTTTGCGAATTATTTCACATCTGACAATGATTTCTCAGGCGTGAAGTGTTTCAATTGCACATGCGAAAAAATAATTTCACAGGTTTAATTAATAATTTTGCATATGAATCTTTGCTTTCAAATGTGAAAAAAATGGGTGAAGCCAAAAATTTCACATGTGAAAATCCAGAACTTCACATGTGAACCCCACATTATATAAAATTTCCCATATGAAATAATATGAGGAATTTCCATAAAGACATGGTATAAGCACTATCATATATCTGATTTACATAATGTTTCGTACCGTATTGTGTCATGCATGGAGATCACAACCAAAATATACGTATAAAATAAAAATACGCGTGTACCAAAATATATACCCTTCTGGAAAGTAGCTCATTTTGGCCATAGAGCCTCGTTTTAGTGTATGTCACTTTAGCTAAATCCAAACGTTTCAACCATAAAAACGAGGATCAATAGCCAAAGTGACGTAGGCCTACTTTGCCGCGAGTGTATTAAAATAAATATGTTCCAGGAAACTGTAATTCTGCAGTAGTAGTATTAACTCTCGAATCTTAAATTGCAACTATTAGTAACTCAAAGCAATATATTTGGATCATTTTAATAAGAGAAATTGAATATATCTCGAAAGTGAAAAACCTCATCAATTTTTTCACCATCAATCAAAGATCCCGGATATGATGTCATTCGACGTCATGGAATTAGTTTTCCCTGGCCTCGGTTTTTTCCAGTTACGATACCATCTTACTGGAATCATATCTGGCAACTTTGACAAAGTTGATGATTTTATAGTATAATGATATATTACATTTCTTCTTTGAATGACCAAAACAAATATCACGCATATCAAAAATCATATTTCTGGCACTTTAAAAATTCATGAAATACCCAAAGCTGACAAAGATCTGATCGTGTATAATGGCAGATATAAGGGAAACAACAGAATCGAAAATTGATAGCGTATGTAGCATACATACTAAGGAGAAGGTATTATCATTTGAACAAAACGTGACGTTAATAACGTCGCGTTATTCACGCTAACAACACTTCCAAGCAAACAGTTAATTTAGAGCCTAGATGAACTGAAAAAAATATATATTTAACAGGTGTCAGGAAACAAAATGTAACCTGTAGTGTCTTGAAAGAAAAATACCCTGGTCTCAGAAATGGAGTTTTCAAAATAGGTCCTCAGGGTGGTGGCACGTTACCATTTGCAGTATATTGTGATATGACCTCGAAGAATGAAGTTGGAGTGACCGTGATTGGACACAACAGTGAATCAAGAACCAAAGTAAATGGATATGAACAAAGAGGTTCATATCGAAAGGACATTACATATGACGTCACAATAGAGCAGATTGTTGCAGTTATAAACGAGTCTAGTTACTGTGAACAGTTTATCAAATACGAATGTCACGGTAGCCTAATGAGTGATGCATGGTGGGTCTCCCGTCAAGGTAATGTTAAATATGGCTTTATTAAAAAGGGATACGGCGCTATATAATGAAAGAACTTTTAAACTTTTACGCAAATCGATTTATTCGCATCATGGAATTATGAATATTTACTAATTATATAGAGGAGCATTGACATGCATGCATGCAGCAACCCTTCGCAATCAAGCAACTGTATATATAGTCCCCAAATATTGTTTGAACACAATATGTTGCAACAGGAAAAATATATAAAGGCTAAAAATCGCAGTCATTTACTCTATTGGTTCTGAATTTCAAGGTAAACGGATGAATTACTGGGGTGGGGCAGCAGTCGACAGTGGAAAGTGTGCATGTGGGATGAACAACAGCTGCGTTGGAGGTAAACGTTGCAACTGTGATTTCAATGACCAAAATCTTCGTGAAGACAGTGGGTTCTTGACGGACAAGAACACGTTGCCTGTGAAGCAACTGAGATTTGGTGATACAGGAAGCTCAAATGAATATGGATTCCATACCCTTGGAAAATTACTGTGTTGGGGATAAATCTGATCATAAATTCAATAATATTGAATTTAGACAATATATCAATATTTGTTATAATATTTGCTATTACTACAATAGTTTTGACAAATTATTCAACGCACGGGGTTTAATTATAATACATAGTCGGTGAAGCATGATGATCTGAAAACTAAACCTAAGTTTTTGTTACATTTTTTTATCTGAGTTTATGTTAATTTGTGAAAGGTCACGGTGATTGAAGTCATTGTATTTTCGTATTAAGTA